TACCTGTTCAAAAGCGTTTATCAAACCTAGTCACCTTTGATTTAGGCAAGATATTCGTCTATCACCAAAAAGATTATATTGTGCAGCAGTTCGCTCTGTTTTATCTCATGCCTGAGACCTGACAGTTTTAAGAGTATGTATGAAGAAATCTAGGAGTGGCCCACCAAAGATATGGAATTAGTCCATGAGATAGTCGAGCGTCGATATTAACCATGTTGGTTGGCGCATACTGACCGGTTGAGGTTCGCGTTATTATCTTCGATCGTTAGAGACGTCGACTGAAATTTTAATATCGTTCAAAACTGCGCTGATCCACTCAGTAATTGTTTTCCATTAGATCCTTAGTTTTAAAATCATTCTATGCTTTTCATCCCATCAGTTCGTTCTTTCCTATTGAATCATATTTTCTATGCCCAATAATTTTTTATTACTAGTACTTCTACTATCATAGTATTCATCCTCATGATTTCACCTCATCTTGCTGACATGATGTAGTCACTCAAGCCGATTCCCGTTTGTGTCAGTTTCTTCGTCATTTTTGACCACTGACTCACTGAGATTTTTAGGAAACCTCTAGTTAATTTTCATTTTTGTTATAGCATGTATAATTTTTATTGTCAAGCGTTATTTAGTTTGAATATTATTAATTTAACGCTATACTAAATGCATTAACAAAATTTCATTCTAGACTTTGGATCCTATATCTCCTGTGATGAAACTTGGGGACGTCAGAATCAACTCAACTTTCTCAAAGTATGTTTCATTGATTCTCTCTAGAAAATTTTAGCGACTATTTGTCTGTGCTGTGTTTTCTTTAATATGTAATACATTTTCTTATTAACTCACCAGTTACGGAACCATGTATTTGATTTCACGTTACACATTAGTTATAAAGGTTAGTGATGCTACCTGGCTGCTCAAACGGAATTGGGCGGATTAGGGTTAAAACCCGTCACTTATTAGTTGGAAGTTTAGAAGTCGGTAATGACAAGTGATTATTTACATTCGTATCTATTGTATAATATAATCGTAAAAATTTAGGTGGATGTTCTTGAAACGACTCAAATAATATTCATTTAACGACCAGTTTTTCAAATAACGATTTCATTTGAAACGGGCAAATGAAAAAAAGTTCATTATACCATTACTTGTTACATTGGAAATGTTGAAAGCATGATATACCTCGCACACGTAAAAATGTTCTGGAATAAAATAAGAAAAAATATCACCATCCACGCGTAACTAAACCGTTGTACAAATACTGTGAGAGTTATTAATAGTATTCACTGTCCATACCGAGATGTAATCGTTATTGCTCTCGTGATAATGATGGCCCACAGGATTATGTCTACATCTGGTTGTGATTACTCAGTCCCGTTTGTATAATTTGTTTAAAGTTTTAATTTTTTGTTTGGGCTAAAACTATATCTGCTTTTTAGTATAAATCTCCTTTGTTCAGTGCTTATACTGTCAATGATATTAAACTCATCGCGACTGCTTTATAAAGCATATAGTTGATTCGTTAACTTAATACTCGTAATATTACTCGACAACCGGTTATAAAACCATGTACTATACCCGGGATGGTTATTGGTTAAGCTTAATTCCCCAACCACTCAAAGTGAAGTATCTGATCTGTAATTGAATATTTTGTTTCATATTCTCATTAGGTTACTGAGGTATGTTAATTCGTCGTAAACTGTAACAGAATAAAGTCCCAAAACGAACACAGGTAATATAAAAAGTGTTGAGTATTTTAGAACATTTTGTATGTGATCATTCTTCCGCAAGACTTTATCTGCAACCTTCGTAAAAGTGAAATTTCTTCGATAGAGCAATTATTTTCCTATACTAGGGTGTTTAAACTAAATGCAAGATTTATACTGCATTGGTATTGTTTGACAAATGATGCTAAACAGACGTCATCAACATAGAGCTTGGAACAGATGTGTGTTGTCCCAAGTTACTATAACATGCGCTGGAAATAACAAGGTGAATAATGATATACTTAAATAACATAGTAGCACTGACGAAAAGAACACCTGAACCTTGATTTTAGTAATTTAAGAAGGTGAATTAAAAAGTCATGTATGGAGGGATACTGAGATTCAAGATCGAGGAGGAAGATAAAAGTGAATACATCCGTGGAGTATTATATATTGCACATTGTTTTTACATAATTTCAAAATAATGAAGAATATTGTTAAGAATTTACTGGAATATTTCCCTTTTACACTGTTATGCACAATTTCTAATATTTGTCCAGTTAGTTATTAGTTGGTTTGTTCAGTAAGTAATGTGACATCTAATTCTTCATTTTAATTAGGAAGACTTAAAAAATAGCTGGTTTGTAATAAGAAAGAATTATAACAACTGGGAATAATTCAAGAATGGTAAATCGTATAATAATAGTTCATAGGTCGAAATAAAGCTTACAATAAGAGGGACATGAATATGTATAGTTTAGTTATTTAACAATTATACTATAAAAATATACGTATAGTATTAGTCCATAAATGGATTCCAAAAGTTACCATTCATTATGCTTATTGATAAAATAACTTGATATTTTGATTTCTTTCTTCTTTTTTTTTTAAATGAAAGTTTTGGTACAGTGTTGTTCGTGAACCGTCTGGACGTATATTCCTTCGTCCTGATGTTTTCATTAATACTGGTAAGTGAATTCCATTGATATATACATACATTGTAGATCAATTATTCATTATTTCTGTCATATTTTTCTTTCGTCATTATGATATTCTCTACATAAATATCTATACAATGAACCTTGAGATATTATAGAGATTGTAATTGTATTTTAAGTCACATGGTTTTACTAACCAATCACTTTTAAGTGTATTATTATAATATTAATGTTTGACAAGGTCATCATTATCATCATAAAGTTATCTTTTTTCTTCTTCTTACAAGTGCAAAATCTGTATTATTATTATTATTATTATTATTATTATTATTATTATTATCCGATAGAGATTATCTAAAGTGCTTCGAATAGAAAAAAATCACTACATTCAATGTAGTTGCATTTGTTTAACTAATATGAATAAGATTTTTGTTTACATAGGTCATGTAAAAGAATGAACAAGATAATTCAAGAACTTTAAGACAAAAAAAGCTAAGTTTTAAGTTCCTCTTTACTATATTAAGGATTGACCTTCAAAACTTACTACCTATATGCTTTACTACAGTCTGTGGTTTGTGTACACTTTTTTTTTTAAAGAAGAGTAACGTTGAATCTCAATAGTTTAGACACAACATACAGGAAATAAGATTATTTTCATTATTTATTTATTTATTTTAACACATAGATATTGGTACAAGGAGGCACCAAATACATATGCGCCACACAGATCTCATTTGATATGTGTGAGGGATGTGATACTGACTGGGTGTCCAAACCGAAGCCGATGGTTTTCTTAGGGGGCCACACTCCGAGCCTTTGATCTAAAGGTCTGACCCACAAGGCAGTGGAGCATTGTAAGGAGATGCAGTCCCATGGTAGCTGGTGACCACAAATTGGTTCATACGCCATTTGTTCCCGCAGGATACTGGAGCCAGCCCATGTGCACCATTGGTTTGGGATCCGGTTAGAGCCGGTGCCGGACATTCGCTTTTCGTCCTCTCAATTTCGTAAACAACAGTAATGCCACGAGAAGGTAGTGAGTAGGACTTCCCTGTCAGAGGCTATATACGCGTGGCCATGTGAGAGCATTTGGAGAGGGAGAGCAGACTCTCCCCACTCTCGGCCATACCAGGGCATTTGGGGGCATCTTCATTTAGGTTCTACCACTAACAGTGTAAAACAAATACATATCGCCATTTAATATACTCATATGTTTGTTGTTAGCAAATGGGCTTTACTTTATTTATCTGTAAATATGATGGAAGAGATTCTGTATAGTCGTTATCATATAATCCAATAAAGAAAATTTGTACATGTTTGCTATATTACACTAAATCACATATCCAATTAAGTTTAACTGTTAGTCTTTTCAAATTACTTCCGGATTGTAGTATTGTGGAGATTCGACCAGCTCATAATTTTCAAATTCTACATCTTATTTATTTTGGTTAGTTAGTGCTGTTCTGATGTAGTGTATTCAAGTTGGACCTACTTACATGTGTGCTAAGTTTTCTGTTGCTTATGGGTATCTTACTGATTGTGTCCATTTTCGAAGTTACCAATCAGATAGACCAAGTTGAGCATCTTGATCATAGATTGCACTATAATAGCTAGTCAGTTAGTCATAAGTAGTGTAGGACCCTGACCTAAATGTGTGCCAGTTGAAGTTAAAACATGTCAAACCAACACATCTGATGAAGTTAGCATCTAGTAAAACTAAACATCTCGTGGCTGTTATGGCACTGTAGACTGTGGGTGGCATTTGCAGTAGAACTACAAACTCAGGTTTAACTTACGTTTATTTGTGTGGCACTTATATTTAGGTGTTTACTTGTGCCAGAATTGATGTGTATTTTATAAATAAACCATCTGAAATAGAAAGTATAATAAACTCGATATCGAGTCATTTAAACTGGCGACCATATTACAGATTGATCAATCGAATTCGACCGTCAATAAAGGATTAGGTAAAAAACAGCATTGAAAACTACTAAGTGTTCATTCAATGTGCAGGCAAATTTTGATTAACTTTCAGCTGAATGTAAGGAAATTTGAACCTAATCAGAAGTTAAAAAGATGTGTTTAGAATCAAATTCAAGGTAGATTTTGGTTGATAGGCTTGTGATACATTAAACTAGGCAGAGGGCAAGGTACTTGAATATCAGTTTGCATCACGAAACGATTTCACCATTGAATGCAGTGATACACTTCTCTAGCTTCAGTCGTTTGGCCAGATTGTTGTATGGCTTCCTGTTTCCCATAATTTGTAAGTGGTTTTATGATACGGTGATAAAATGACCCATTTTCTTTATTCAATACGACACTATATAGTTCTGTTTCATGTTGTCCTTTTCAGAGTACACTATTGATGAAATTGGCACAAATGAAGAAAAGGCTATGCATGAGCTTTTTACTCCGTATTCCAATCAGTATTTTGGAACCCATTGGCCAATGGAAGGTTTTGAAGGTTCCCGTGTTTTGTTGATCGCCACTATTCTTGTTAACCTGGTGACTCCACCACCTGTTGCCTATGCGTCAGTAGTCGAAGATGATGATGACGAACTAGATTTTGGACCTATTATACCTTGCAATCTTTTCCCAAATGGTTTGCCTCTTGTAACTTGGCGAGAAAATGCACGTGTTATTGCAGGAAGTCCAAATGCACTTCGTTTTATATTTCTTTGTGCTTATGCACATCACTCAGGATTGAGATCCTTGGGGCTACAACTACTTTCAAGCATACGCTATCCCCTAGATCCACCTAGTTTATCACTCCCACTTGATTGCCCAGAATACTGGACACCTTTAATTGATAACGGTTGTCGTCTTGGCCAGCTAACCTTAGCATTTCTAACTCGATGTATTCTGGAAAGTAATGATCGATGTGATTTAATTGCAGGTGAGATTTTTTTGTCTTAATCTTTACAGATCTTAAGTATGTACTGCATATTAGTTGTTCTAAGACCTCATCATTCATTTGCCTTTTCTTACTAACATTCCAGGTTTGATGTTTCTGGCTAATCTAACGAAAGTTCGTGAAAAAATGAATTTATCTAGTCTTCTTGTCGGTCTACCTCAAACTGTTTGGCCCAGACTTGCCCAGTTGTTATGCTTACCAGATTTGGCAGTTGTGTGTGCTACTTTAGAGGCTCTTCGTTGCTTAACAAATCTGGATGCAACAATGTGTTTAACTTGCTGGGAGTCCTGTTGCTTGAATGTAAATTCATTCGATCAAGAAAACATTCCTTTTATTTTACTCCAACCTTTGTTAGCATTACTTACATTAGAAGGTCAGGCGATGGGTTCTCAATCGCTTCATCGCATCAGAGTAAGTTACATATTCATGGAATAAAACTGATTTGTGTATCTTAATACTTTTACTCCATACATATTATCAAAAAGTATTCTCATATGGTTAAAATGTTTGATTTAAGTATTCTTTGTCTACTTCCTTGTATATAAAGTAATTAAGTGCCTAGGGAAATTATCAAAATTATCCGACTGGATGCAACTGTGTTGTTAATTTATACTCCCTTTTTGTACAGTTCTATTCCAAAACTAAAGTATTTTTATTCAGTGCATCTAATTTTACTGTTTTTTTTTAACCTATTTATAGCTTTTACCCCGCACTCCACAAGCTCAAAATGTTCAACCACAACTTCCTCATGGGGCCAGTCTACGAATTCCTGCTCTTAATCGTCTGTCTCCTAATGTGAATGAGCTCAATCGATCCAGGGATGCACCAGCATACCATAATGGGCAAGTGTTTAAGTCATATTTACGCCCAAAACTTCCTGTAGTACATCCAGTTCCTTCTGATTCTTTTGATAATAATGATATCCATAACTCTTCTACTTCATCCTTTCGTAATTTGAAGTTCGAACCTAGTACTCATTTAAAACAATCCCCAATTTCGTCAACATCTACTTGTGTATCACATCCAGTGTACAGACCTCAAAGCGGAAGTACTGCTTGCTCTGGTCTTATCAACTTACTATCTTCAGTGCCACCTGCCTCATCATCACCTAATATCAATATGCCAGTTATCAATTCTACTTCTCCTAATTCACCAAAAGTGGTTACACCTAGTCTATCTGAACTGACAGACAGACTTCAAATGCCACCACCTTCCTTACCACCGCCATCTGCAATGCGACGTTCCATAAAACGGACTCATTCACGGACGAGTCTAATTTCATCTCCTACTCAACCGACTGATGCAGTAAAAATGAATATTTCTTCGCCTTGTAGAACTAATCACTCATCAGGAAACATGACTGTAACAGATCGAATTAGTCCAACATCGTTGCTGCTTACAAATCCGTGCAATCTAAGATCCCAACCTCAAGGTAAATTTTAGTTTATACACTTTTTATTTTATGTATCATTCAAATCCATCCATAAGACAATCTAATACGATATAAATGATCACTTGTGTATTATTGATCAACTGTCGATTAAGCAGTTGGCTTTTTGTTTCTGATGGAAGTAGTAAGTTAGCGAAATTATTTTATTTTGTCCACTGACGTATTATGCTGAATTGTTATTAGGTATTTGGCTTTTTCATCATATAGGGATTAATAGAGATAGATTTATTTATTGTAGGTACATACGTCTTAGTTTCTTTTAAGTGCTCACAAACACAAGTTCATTGACGGAGGAGTAAAACTTGAATAATTAGATCTAACTGACAGTCACATGTGCTACAAAATTTCTGGGGTTGAACTAAATAAATTTCAATAGACTATTAAAAGCTATGTCAATCTGACGATCACTTATCTTGCTACACTGTATCATGGGTTTAGAGATCTAATGGGTAATGTTTTACGAATAATTGATTCCCGACTGATTTTAGAATAGTCTTACCTTATAATTTATTTATTATTTTTTTTATTTATTTTAACACATAAGTATAGGTACAGGGAGGCACCAAATACATATGCGCCGAACATTCGCTTTTCGTCCTCTCATTTTTGTAAACAACACCCCCGCCACGAGAAGGCAGTGAGTAGGACTTCCCTGTCAGAGGCTATATACGCATGGCCATGTGAGAGCATTTCGAGAGGGAGAGTTGACTCTCCCCACTCTCGGCCATACCAGGGCATTTGGGGGCTACCTTATAATTGATTGTTAACTTCTCACGAAATCGATTTATTAACGTATATCTCCGAATAAAACCGACATCTGAAGACCATTGCATCTTGCTAGAAAATTAAATTTCCTCTTCAAACCAAGGGACGTACTCAAATAAGAAATATCAAAAGAATCAAGGAATTGAAAATAAGTGATAGGAGAATAATGACTTAATAGGTCACTTATAAACCAATGAAGTTAGATCTTGACTCAAACCTTATTCTTGCCCGGCATTCCAAAATAATAATTTATTTTTAATGTTTTCTGGGTGTCATTATATTATGATAAAAGATGGTCTTATTTTGCCTTTACAGGAGACTCAGTTCCTTTAGGGGTATCTATAAATTCCAAGGAAATTCAGCAAACTGAGAAACATGAAGTTTGTTCAGGAAATTTTTCCGACGAATCTTTAAATCAAATAAATAATTCTCGTAATTTACTACCTCATTTGAAGCCAATTGTAAATTATGATACTTGTAACAAGAAAACCAGTCATAATAATAATAATAGTAGTAAGGACGAGTTAGATGATAGTGAAATCAAGCCTATTGTTAATGGTGAAAAAAGTATTGATCCTATCATGGATGGTGAACTCAAAAGTTCAATTAATACTTTTCATACGAATGGTCTTCGAACTGGTATTTTACAAGAAGCTGTTTTAGCTATTCAAGACAGAAAATTAAAGCAAACTTCTGAACAGTGTAAATCAACTATCAAATGTGTCAATGGTGTATTAGAGACGAAGCGTGAACTAATCTTAAGTACAAAAGTGAGTGTGTTATTTTTCTTATTTTGTATCTACTTTATTGAAAATTTTTATCAAAGACTAAATTAGCATGTTTGTGTAAGAAACATCAATTCGACTTGACGTTCTACCTGAGATCAATAAAAACTCTAGATTGGTTTGTTGAAGTCAGTTCTTATGTTGGATATGTATTCAGAGAGCATAGTATTAATGACAACTGTTGTTGTGGTGGTTTGTAGGTAGTTATTATTCATTCGTTATTTTCGTAATTTTCATTTCATTTATTGGAGTTTATTTCTTTTCATTTATTCATTGTTTTATGCTTCTACATTTTCCAACCTAATTTATTATCAATCTGTTCAAGTTACATCATTCGCATGTTCATGCACCATTATTTTATGCGTCTGTCGTCTCTCTCTATAAGTGTTAATTTTACTTGTATTCTCCTTCACGTACTGTGCTCATTCAACTGATTGATCTTCGTTTCATTCATCGAGTAAATCAATAGGATAATAGTGTGACTAATGTATTATCTACACTACTTTGAACTACGGTAGTTATACAACTTGTGTACCCAGGACGAAATATGTAAAGCATGATCTAAACCTGAAACTTAGTGGCTGAATATCGGTTGGTTCAATTGTCAAACTATAACTTCACTATCTATTCTACGGTTATGGATCATTTTGAAAGTAAATATTAGTGTTATATACCATCACTGGATTTGATTATTTTTCCCGCCGACTGCCTTCAATCATCTATCATTAAAAGATTAATCAAATTTCTCATAAACACCTCAACTATGTATGTATAACTACGAGGTAGAATTTTGTTTTTCTAATCGTTATGAAGACGAGAAAATATGCATAAAATTCTGTAAGTTTTGTAATAAGCCTTTTCCCTCGACATCATTCACTATTTCCAGTAAATATTAAAAAAAAATACAAATAAGCGAAGAAAATAATTGTCTTTGTAGACTAGTTTCTAGTCAGTCAATCATTCAACTACAACGTAGGACCAGGCACACATACATCGGTCCAGGTTGCCATACCTCATTAGCACAACAAGATCAACATCGGATTCATAGAAGTAGTTAATTCAATGATTGTAATATATAAAAGAAAGATTGCATATAAGGATATAGTACAGGAAGAGTAAATTAGTTCGTAGAAAGAAAGATATGAAGCAATTTTAATCTCTTAGTTTAAGGGAAGACAGAGAGTGTATACACCGACGCCATTGTGATCGATTCTGAGCCATGTCACCAAGAGTCTCCAACCATTGGTTACGATAGTCATGCGGACCCCGACCAGGTAGTCTACGCTTACCAACATGGCTCAGACCAGAAGTTGGTAACTTGAAGCACTGATGCTACGTTTCGGTTTGGTTTCTAGTAAATTTATGGATTGAATTATTCATTATAAACTTTGAATATTCAACAAATCAATGACAAAAGTGGTTTAAATCACTATATTTTCATTATGGTTTTGTAAAACTTTTCAATTTAATATATAAAATTCTAATTCGTCTTATATATGTGAGTACTAAACAGTAATCAATCTACATGTCATTACGTGAGTATTGTGCTCATATTATATAAATTGGTATTTTATGGGATTGGACTGTATTAACTGAATGCATAACGATTTCCACTTATCCAATGTAATTGACATTTATAACAGTTGATGTTTATCCAATCATCACTGTTATAAAGTGAGATTTGATGGATGAATTTTTAATTGGTACAATGAAAGAAATGACTACTGATCATTAGGTGATACGCACTAATGGAAAGTGACTGGGGAATATTGTAGTAAACATGGTGGGGACAACCAAATGTATTTCGATACAAAATTACAGAATCTCTGGTGAGACTATAATTTATAGACGACCTTTGAGTGACGCTAAAATGACCTTGAGAGTGCCTACCTAATAACTAGAACTAAATGAAGATTATACAGCAGTTTGAAGAATAGGGATTATGATGGTTAAAGTTAAAAATTAGATTTAATGCTTTCATCATGAACTGACATCAACTATAATACCAAAACTCTATTGAGTCAAATAAATGAATGAATGTCGCGCCAAAATCCGAGACCTGTTATCTTATATGTGATTGGTTCGTCCATAAATTATAGTCTCACCGAATCTTTTAGTAAAATCTGTGAACCACACAAATACTTTGTTTGCAAAATATCCATCAATTGTCCCAGACTTGCTTATTCCTTCGTTTCCATACTAACCACTATGTTTTTGTCCTCGTTCTCTTCGATTTTCTCAACCTGCCACCAGTCATTCCACTTTCAGTTAGTGATATATACTACTTATATCTGTCGACATTAGTAGCACATACCACAATATTTGATGTAAGCCCTCAAAATAAACTGCTATTAAAAGACAAGATTACTAACCAAAAGAATAGATTTTGTATTTATCAAATTGATATGCTTATGTACAAAATCTTAACGGAAAAATGAACATAATTAAATATTGTGTGCGATTGAAAGCAATTACTTATGTAGGTTACACACTGTCTAATGAGTTAAGACTTTTCCATGTCATATCACATTATAAAATCAACGCATGGGTAGGTAGTTCCCTTTTATCCCTTAGTTCATGGTTTATATTCTAATTTTATTTTCTTGTCATACTATTCTTTACTTATTGGACTGTTAGCTTCATATTTGGAATGACTAAGATAATTATAATCGTCTAATGTGTATTTATATTTATGCAAACGACAGTTTGAAGGTGTTTTGTTTGTGGAATTGGAATTATAGGCTGTTTAAATGCTGAATGTTTTAATTTATTCTTCTCGTAATCATCGGATTCGCTTGCAACCCGTTGAATTTAGTCATTCGACTTTCAACCAGTAAACTACACGATCAACCTGTGGATTGAATCTTCCACGTTATAAGCAAACATAATATTTCGTTTTTTTTGTCCGTACATCGTAATTTCCAAGACACGTTGACTTATAGTCACCGAGTTGCGTATCATCTCTTGTAATATTGACTTAGCAATGAAGACAGGGCTTGTATTAACACGGAGTGTAACAGAAATGTTTGTTTTATTTGTAGTACTTATCAAGTTCTTGTGATTAAGCTACATTGTGACCAATATTCTAAATTACTCAACGACGTGTGTATTGTGGCCTTACTTGATGAATGTCAACTAGTACACTGCTTAATTCCAGAACTTCCTGTTATCGGCTTCTAATCACATTCAAAACAAGAGAACTTTCTAGTATCTTATATACATGATTTTGGAGAAATATATTAGTCTCTTACCATATATTTGAAATCACAATTTAGTTATATCAACAGTATGTAGTTATTAGTATAGGATACTAGTAAAGTAGTCTCACCTTCGTCAAAATGTGTCCAAAATTCTGTATCTCACTTTTGTTTAATATATAAATTTTTTTTATGTCAGTTTCCTCATTCTCTTTTACATAATTTAATATCAACACTCACAGGATAATTCAAACATGGATACTGACCCGAATAATGGTAAATCAACGCCTTTTGATGTATGTGAGAATTCAAATAAAAAATCGAACATGGCTTCTTTAAGCAATGGATACTTAACGGATGACATTCATGAAAATGAAAAAGATAACAATTCACTACGTGAAAATAATCCATTGTATATTACTTCTAGTGGGAATGGTAACATTAATAATAATGTCAATAATAATGAAAACAGTGATAAACTGGAGAAAAATCCGAATTTCCGGTTTCGCGCTGTACATTCTCATAGATTCTTGAAGCGTCGACGAAAATGGGGTTCAAAAAGTCGATTGTTCACACCCAAGCGTCGACGTGATCCGACGTCTAGACATATTGACTGGTCACCGACTTTGCATGTTCCATTAACGTTTAATCCTGTACCTGGTTCTGTTCTTGATCCTACTTGGAAACAATCCACTGATCCAGTATCAGTTGAATCCTCTCCAGACACCAGTATTAGCAGCAGCAGTAGTAGTAGTAGTAGTAGTAAGGTGATAGTTGAACCTCCAAGCAATGATAACAAAAATTCATCAATCTCAAAAGATGTTATGGACAAACCAAACAAGCTTGATTGTGATGTTTCCGTGACCAGTGAATCGTCAGAACTCAATTCACAATCTGGCAATACACCATACAATGCTAGTCTCACATGTTCAGAGGATTCATCTAAAACAGTTAACACAGAAAAGCCAGTATTGTATTTATGTGAATGGGAGTGTTGTACAGCTACATTTGAATTGAAACACCAGGTGGGTCTGATTACTTTCTATTAATCTTTGGGGTTTTCTGAAATGTTTCTTTTTGAAGCTTGGAAGCTCTTTTAGGTTTTTCACACTGAATAGAACGTGTGAAAAAAAGCACTTCTGACACTTGAATACGAAAGTGGTGGCTAAATTATGAATTAATATTTTAATTTGTTGGTTGATGAGTTAAAAATCTCTCCACTACAGATTTTGTGATTCCTTTTACAGACCAAAACATAAATAAGTTTATTAGGCATTTTATTCTAATTTGTTGAACCAGTGCAATTCTCTTTACCATTTTTCCTTACATCAGTTTTAAGTTGGTTAACAATATATATAGTCATATTTTTGCTATGTCATAACTCTTTGCGATTGCAAACCAAGTACCCTCTTCTACTATTTTTGTACCTCAGTGACGTTCGTCAGGTCTCCCTACTATCCCGGTTTTTATTTAATTTTGTTGTCGATATCCTCCTAGAAAAAACATTTTCTTCAGTGAACTTTTCATGGCTCGATCTACCACTAGGAGATTTGCTCACGGATTTAAAACACTTAGACGTAATAGTCTTATTTGAGGAAAATGCTGACAAAATTAAGTTTTCATCTCACCGAGCATCAGTGCAGAATTTTGTTCTAGGTCTGATTTGCGTCAGTATCTAAACTGGTATAGGAAGTGTAGTAGTTAAGTTCGCTGACCACTTCACTTATGTTGGATGTGTGACCAAAATGGTTAGGTTGGTTCCTGACCGAATTCCGTAACTTAATCAGAAGGCCAATTAATGTTTGTTAACTTGGTTTGCTTGTGGCGTAGACGAGATATCCGTTTACTAACTAAAGGATGTTTATTGAGCAGGAGTCCTCTCTGTTTTAATTTTGGGCTAGCGTACATGATCTATGAAAGTAGAAGACGCGCTTATTTATTTGAATACATAAATATTAGTACAAAGGGGCACCGAATACATATGTGCCACACAAGTCATTTGATTTGTGTGTGGGCTATGATACTGCTTGGGTGCCCAAACCGAATCAGGTGGTTTTCTTAGGTGGCCACACCTGGACCCTTTGACCTAAAGGTCCGATCCACAAAGCAGTAAAGCATCGTAAGGTGATGCGGTCCCATGGTAGCCGGTGATCAACGATTGGTTCATACGTTATATGTTTCTTCAGGATCCTGGAGCCCATTGGTTCGGAATGAGGGTTTTCCAACTCCTAGGTGAACTCTCCATATTCACCGGACATTCGGTTTTCGTCCTCTCAATTCCGTAAACAACAGCTCCGCTGAAAGAAGGCAGTGAATAGGACTTCCTGCATACGTTTGGCCATATGAGAGCATTTCGAGAGGGAAAGCTAACTCTTCCCACCCTCGGCTGTACTAGAGCATTGGGGGGGGGGCAGAAACCACGCTTAGGCTGTAGATTTTTTATCGTAGGCATTCCTTGTGTTTCATGGAATAACTGAATATGCAATATTAAGGTAAGACATAGCGTACTTACCATAGGAGGCGAACTGGTTGGTGAGATAGTGGATGTTTATCGACCAAGGTAGTTAGGACATGTGTTACGTATGCCTAACCACGACAAGTGATGCTTGTTAGTGTAGAACGGACATAGAAGAAAGCTAAGAACAATAAAACTGACGGGTGCAGTTAGTTCTTGAAGTAATTGATTATCGGTCCGAAACATGCTAACAAATTTAGACTTACCTTGTCCACGTGATAACCTAGATTAATGGCTGGATATTGGGTGATATGAGTCAGAACTATTCATAATGACATAAATCCCTTCAACTTCCTTTCATTACTGAATTCAAGTATCCCTCCAAACCCACCTTTCCGCTCTATCTTTTCAAACCATCTTCTCATGGTTCAGTTTTATTATCGTCGCTACTACATTTTTAGGTATCTCACTATAAATCCTGTTGTTTCCATCTAGTCAGTAACCATATTTACTTAATGTTACACGATCTTTTTTTGACAGGTTGCCTATCATGTTTACAGTACACACTTACCTAGCAAGGAAAGTTGGAAAGTAGATGGATCACATCATGCAAACCATAAATATTCTGTTCAACTTGTACGTCGTTGCTGTCGTTGGCGAGGCTGTCAGTCAGCATCACTAGCTCGAGCACCGTACGCTTTAATGACTCATGTGCTTGATATGCATTGCAGTCCAAGAGAACTAGAAGCACGGAGATCAAACCATGAGAAGTCTAAAACTGAGTACAGAACTCGTAATGAACATTTTTCTGATGGTAATTCATCGATTGGAGATACACATCCAGAATATCCTTTAGTTAGTGATCGTACAGGATGGGGAATCATTCGTTCTGTTGAAGCTAAAAATATGCAAACTGAGCTGTTGGCTGCACAACATCATTTTCTACTTACAAATCCCAATTGTCATTCAAATATTTCAATAAATCCATTTGTTCATTCGGGCATAAATAATCCACCACGTGAAGGACCAGTAACAAAACATCTTCGAGTAACTTCCGCACTTATATTAAAAAACCTAGCAGTGCATGTTGATCAAGCTAGAAGGTAGGTTTCTTATGTCTTCAAAATAATTATTTTGATATCTTAGAATGACTTTCTTTTTGCGTTACCTTTTACACATTTACTCGATTCTTCAAATCTATGAAGCACTGTGTACATAATCCGTATTGGCTCATTCCCTATATTTTGTTGGCTTACTAAGGGTTGTTCAAGAATCTTGATTTTTTTTTCCAAATTCTTGATCATCTGTTTTAATCATAAGGATATAAACGTAGTTATAGAAATATTCATATCTGTCAAAGTAGGTCAGCTGGACGATATTCCGTAGCAACTTCCTCTTCATAAAAATGAAGAATACAGTAACATTAAACCCCATTACCTAAACCAAATTTATGTCTCTGAAGGGGGATCTCAGATCAGATTAAGTAGGGAATCTTAATATACTTAGTCTCCAATGTTCTAACTCTGAGGACAGACAAACCTATTTTAATCTACCGTCATTCTGTAAATGGATCTTTTAATTGTGTTTCACCTCTGCAGTAAAAGCTCGTTGTAAATATACTTCCATTAGAAAAGAGCTCATTAAACAAAATTATTTCGTCTGTCGAAAATACTCAAACAATTATTATAATCCATATATATTGGTTTTTTAGATTTTTCAGTCGATGTTGATCAGTTTCTTATTGGTGTATATTTATTTATTTTATTTTAACACATAGGTATAGGTACAAGGAGGCACCAAGTACATATGCGCCACACGAATCTCTATTGATTTGTGTGAGGGCTGTGATACTGACCGGGTGCCCAAACCGAAGCAGGTGGTTTTCTTAGGGGGCCACACCCCGAGCCTTCGACCTGAACGTCTGACCCACAAGGCAGTGGAGCATCGTGAGGAGACGCAGTCCGATGGTAGCCGGTAACCAACGATTGGTTCATACGCCATTTGTTCCCGCAGGATACTGGAGCCCATGTGCACCATTGGTTTGGAATCCGGTTAGAGCCGGTGCCGGACATTCGCTTTTCGTCCTCTCAATTTCGTAAACAACAGTAATGCCACGAGAAGGCAGTGAGTAGGACTTCATTGTCAGAGGCTATATACTCGTGGCCATGTGGTAGCATTTGGAGAGGGAGAGCGGACTCTCCCCACTCTCGGCCGTACCAGGGCATTTGGGGGCATTGGTGTATATACATCCTGCGCAGATTGCCTCAATATTACCATTAAGTCACAAGCATTATAAGGACTTACTGCTGGAAATAACGTTCTCGTCATCTGAATTTTCATAAATTGATCTCCCCACAGGGTGTCCACTTATCGACTTAAAATACGCAAATGACGTAGTCCTGTTCGGTGAAGACGCATTGGGCAACAATGCCAAAATGCTTGGGATACGTTTCTCCTTCTCTAAATTCAAGTTGTTGCTCCAGGACTGGTTTGCGTCGACATCTGAAATAAAGATAAGTGAAATAGTCGGACGCGTCGAAAACTTGATTTATCTTGGAAGTATGACCAGCCCCAATGGGTTGGTGTCTGACGAAATCTCTGCACGGATGCAGAAATCTCGTCTGACTTTTGCCAAATTACGTCACCTATGGCAAAGGTGAGATATCCGTCTATCAATTAAAGGACGAGTATACTATGCGGCAGTCCGTTATGTTCCACTTTACGGCTGCAAAACGTGGCCACTAAGAGTAGAAGATACTCGTGAGTTATTAGTATTTGATGAAAGATGTCTTAGAAATATTACTCACATCTGCTGGGATCACTGGATAAGTAGTAGTGAGGTTAGACACAGGGTATTAGCGAATGATGGTAAATCAGTTGAGGAGGTTGTGAATCTTCATCAACTGAGATGGTTGGGCCATGTGTTACGTATGCCTGAACACTGATTACCACGACCCGCTAGTGAGATGTGGTAACTTGGATCGATGCATATATGTGCCTAGTCCTACGTTGTAACCGACTGATTGTTAGGATGTTATGGATGGTAGCTAGCAGTAGAATCTAGGATGCGCGTTTCTTCCTATTTGGTGTTCATCAGCTGGATGCATCTGCATCTCAAAGTTGATGTTCCTTCCTGTTTATGATTTCGTCCAAAGCTCTACTTGTAGAATTTCAAGACATCAATTCTGTGTAATAAAATATCATTTCATAACATAACAGAGAAAAACTATCGATATGTAGTCATCAGTACGTCTAATTACATTTAAACTTTGTTTTGTGCCTAAAGTTCTTTAAATTTATATTAGGTGAATGATACTACTTTCAAGTAGTTTAGTCGTGTTTACAGAACTGGTATATCCTATTAATTCTGTTCATTATTGAAATATTTTATTCCGTCTGAAATTGTTTATGAACAGATAATACCTGCAGAAATTAATCTACTATGTATTTTCCCGTAAATCAACTTTTTCTTTTTGCTCAGGCTGCCAGATTTTCCTCCTGAACTGTTAAAGTTTATGTGCTTGTTTTTTTTTGACATCGTCTTTGAGACACGATGTATTGGCGGAGTAGTTTGTAATTCTTATTCCAAGCGAACTAAAGATTATGTTAAATGGTTAAACATAAGCGACAAAAAATCCCTAACTTAGTTTTGGTGCTAGAGTTGACTCTCGTCATGAAGGTTTGTCTGAAATCTTGAACTAATTGTTGCTCGTCATGAAGTTCGAACTCTTACTATCTTTTGTCGATGCTAGGAATGTTATTACAAAGGCTGTGGAGAAAAATACAACCTATAACGTGCCGCGCTTCATAGGTCTTGGGGTTTCACCTTATGAACCGTTATATGATGTTCTGACCAAGTACTCTCGTAAATTCAGATCATCCCACTGTTCATCTCATAGCGAATAAACGGGAAGGTACTTTAAGACATAAATTGATTTTATCTGAGTCTTCCAGGCGTGTGTATAAAGTTTACCTGCTTGCTCAAAAAGAAAAACAGTTGTGGGGGCGTCATCCATGCTTTTGTTCTGAAAATCCATAGGTCTCTGATCTGTATGCTTAAAGTATTCATGCAACGTTCAGTTGTCTAGCTGGGATTAACGCTAAGTGGCGTATATACTTGCTAAGAGTGCACGTAAGTTGTATATGTCACAAAGAGTAGCCTCCATCTACCATATGAAAACAGGAGTCTAGACCTCATCACCTTCCTGAAGTGAAATCTTTGCATATGCTATGGAGTGGATAAACCGATTTGATTTGTGTATCTCAGGTATTTATGCAACGTCCATCAGTCGTCTTTAAAAGAGTAGAAAATACTTACATTTGTCCTTAGGAGTTTCTGTTTCCCTAATTAGAATATATATCCTGCTCTGTGTACCCATGAGCATATACGACCTTATCCAGCCAATCGACTTTCTCGACACTTTGGCTGGAACAAGGAATCACGGAGACTATTCATAACACTTCTGAACGTATCCTAACTGCGAAGATGCTTTTTGTCAGTAGACATTGTAATTCGCAGGAGGACTCATGTTTCTTGTCCGATTCCAATATAGACTGTTAAACATAGTTGTAACCATTGTAAGCACAGATGGATCGTGGTTTGCGTGTTTCGTACTACTTGGGACTTGTCAGCTGGATGTAATTGCATCACATTGTAACGTAATGTCAATATTGAGGCAATCCATACCGATTGCACATATGTCAACAAGGGACTGATCAATTGCAGTCCTAAATATCAAGGGGAACATTCAAACAACCAATATAAAAATAAATAGTTCTAACCAGCTCTAATAAATTATTTGTTTTAATTTTCGTACATTCTTTTTACCAGGTGGTTACTTAAAGAGTCACAACTGTTATCAGAAATAGCATTTGGATGTACACCAAGTGAAACAGGATTAAAAACAAACAATGCCAGTCATATTATTGCCCAATGTTTATCTATATGCACCTTAAAACAAAATTCTACGAATTGTGTTTTATCACATCCATTAGAACGCCCAATAAACATTCCGTTACTATCTACAAACACTTATTCATCCTTGAAGATTCAATTGAATGAATCGACAATACATCATTTTAAAGAATCTACTGTAGATCTAGATTCAGAAACTTGTAATTCATAGTTAAAAGAAAAAGAAATTGGCAGTAATTTTTTTAAAAATTGTAATTCCTTAATTCACAATGCCTTTCCATGTCTTGTATGTTGTAGTATTTCTTCATAACTATTTTGTTCAGGTTTATTTCACTTATCCTTCCATATGTTATTGTTGTGTAGATAACAAACAATTGTTGTTTCAATTATTCTCAATCCCTCAAGCGCTTCAGGGTTGTTATCGTGGAAGGCATTATTTCCACTTCAAATGTGTTTACTTTCTTTTTTGTACAGTTTCTAACAGTTAACCTCACAAATTCTCTCTTCCTTTCTACATAGGCATATATATATATATATATATATATATATATATATTCTTTAGTTAATGTTCACTCTTTTTGATCTGTTGTGTACCTTAACAGTGAATTTTGTTGAATTGCTTAGATAATTCTCTTTATATAATATATATTATTCACTGTTGTATTTCTATTATTATTATTATTATCATCATTTATGATTATCAATTCCGTGTGCAGCTCAATTCTTATTTTTCTTTTACATCTTGAGACAAGAATTTGTTCCTCTTTTTTTTCCCGTTGTTGTTTTCAAAACAATCTGTATATCTAGAAACACATACACGCCCACACACACACACAGGTTATTTATTAACAGAACGCACTACTTGACCCCCGCTTTCTATAAATAATAGTTCACCAATTCTGTATGTATTATTTATTATTTTATCTCAGTTTGTTCCTTTTTTTTTAAAAAAAAAAGAAGTGGTTCCAATTATCGTGATGATGTGTTTTGGTTAACCTTCTCTACACTTCTTTTTTTTTCTATAGAAAAAGAGAATACAACAACAACAACAACTGAATACCTTTACACTATTGCATATTTTGTAATTATCTAAACTGCTTATACATATTATATATATATACATCTATATTGTTTTTAAAATTTTCCCAATAAACTTTCTATTATGTTGTACAGTTTCTTGATCAGAAATATCCCATTTCTTTCTTTCTTTCTAAAGATGAGTAATTGTGTTTTCATATTGAATAAATACATGTGTATATCAATTGTGATATACCCTTGTTATATATATATATATACATATTTAAAGGATTTATTATTATTGTTATAGTCCTGTTTCTTTTGTTCGAATACGTCTATTTTTTAAATGTTTATATTCCCTTGTTTTTTTTTCCCATGTTTCTTTTCTCTGTCTCTCCAACTTTTCTCCATATGTAAGCCCTTTAATTTTCCTATTCTAATTTATTGATTGAATTTCCACACGATACATCAAGGTTGTACAATTTGGAGTTGTAATAATGACGGTAAACCTGACGATGAGGACGACGACGATAATGATGATGATTACGAGAACAATAATCTTTGTGCATTTCAATGTGATTTTGATCAACTCTTTTTTTTAGTGCCTATTCAAGTGTTTGCGTTTTTTTTGTATGTGTCTTGGTTACGTTAGTATTATTTATGCATTTGTATGCGTCGTTATCAATTGAAAACTGTGCATAGTGGGTTATAAAAACAATTTATGAGTATACCATTCCAGTAATAGTAAGTCTATCATGAATTAAGTTATCAAGTAACACCGGAGCATATCTGTAAATTAACAGTAGGATTGTTTATTATAACATTTAGATATTACGCCGTAAATGACTGTAATTTATGTTCAAAACTTTCAAGCTACGCGATTCTCTTTATAAAATTACCAACTATTAATTGTAAGTATTCTAATCAGTGACTTCATGTCACATTTAACAACGTTAAAATTTAAGAAATAGAAATAATTATATCATTAACAGGTGAGTAGCACTACTAACTTCTGTTGTCACCTATACTACGTTTTAAGCTTCATAGGTGTTGTTCACCTATTTATAACATGATGTATCAAATACCTTCTAGTCTAGCTCTACTGAGGTTTCCTTATATCTGTATTTCATTGTCTCTCTTTTTGTATATACATGTTTCATGAATTAGATTCGAGCTAAAGCAGGTGCTTTTTTCAATAAGTCTTTTCCCTCATTCATTTTACTGTTTCGGTACTCAGCTTGGTTATTATTATTTTTTGAATTGTCTTATTCTAGATAACTTTATACGTGTCAGCAAAAAATATTCTTAGGTTCGTGATAATATCTCTTAGACTAATTGTTTCAGTTCAAGTTTGTTGCTTCAGTCCGTGGTATTGCCAGTAAACTATAATGACAATATTAGAACGTTTTTAAATGTTTATATATTCGTCAATGTAATTGGTTAGTAATATATGGCGTGTCAAATCATCTTTTCGACAATTCACGTAATTATAAAGGACCCTAAAACTGTACAGATGCTGTTTTAAGATTTATCTTACTGGGATTTAAAGGGAACTTATACCTCGGGTGACGTTCGCTACAAATATTACAGTTCATTAGGGTTGCTAAGCTCTCGTTGGTAGATTTTTGTCACGAAATAAGATCATACCGTATAAAAATATCATACAAAACAGTAGTAAGCAATCACATCGCTAACAATCGGGCCCAGGACTTTTGAATCGGTATTTTTTCGTCTCACTAGTCACCACGTCCAACGAATTCACTTAAATTCGAAATATAGGTCACTACTCCGGGAATATACATACGTTTCGCTAGCATATCTTTAGATACGTGGACGTTGGTCTCATTCGGGCCGTTACTGTATATGATTTTACTACATATTAAAATCTTAATATAGCATTTACGCAATAGCTCTTTCTGTTATGAAAGATAGCAGTTTGTACGTATTTACCACAATTGGTGTACAATTGATAGTTAGGGAGCAGTTGTTTCATCGTACTGCCGCGTTTCATAGTGGTATTCACGCACGGCTCCGGGGATGTGTTGGATCCAGGACACATGTTTCGCGATGAAAGCTTAATAATTAAAACTACTAGTTTGGAGTTTAATTGTACAAATAACAATATCGGTCATTAATCGGCATCAATAATTGTCATGGGTTCACATATACGAGTTAACGCTAAGGAAGAAAACATGTTGCACAAACAAACTAATTAAATAAATACTGCATGTATTGTGTAAAATAAACAAGAATTTTTATAGGCGATAATGGCTAGTGGTGAAATTCAAGACGCGCGTTTCGTCCTATTTGGGACTCATCAGCTGGATGTACCTACATCCTGAATGACAATCGGAAGATACAAGTAAACAATTCAAAGTGAACACATTACGTCGAGAAATGGAGACAGACATGAGAAAAATGAACAAAAATTGTATAGAACTGGAAAGGAAGGCCCAGGACACAGTGGATTGGAGAATGCTGGCCGGCGGCCTATGCTCCATCCGGAGTAACAGGCGTAAGTAAGTGTTTAAAAACTCACAAAGACCAAACAGATTGTTTAAATCCTGAATTTTGCATAGTAATAATAATTAAGTAACACATTACAAACTATATCTGAATGTTAGATCAGCGTAACAATCGTAGTAGTGTGGTTCAATGATAAAAGTGTTCGACTTTCAACCGACAAATCAAATCTTGACCAATCAGAATGCAAGAAACTCGTATATTCTCGAAATTATCTACTACATTCGAATACTTTTTTTTCTTATCGTAATCAAGATTAATTCCTTGAACACTTGTATATCAATCGTCATTATTGTCATCCACGGATTTATTCTTTCTTCTCACCTCCTCTATATAATAGAGATAAACAAACGAAATGATTCATTGGCTTTTTTTTTGTTGTTGGGCGTTTACTAGAATTGGAAAATGATGAAACCATTAAAATTGAATATTGATAAATTATTTAATTGCAGGTTTTTTTTTAATATTTATGTTTATTGTTGCATAGGAAAATATTGAAAAATTACTGTAATATTAATGTTTGTAAATCGATAAGTAATAGAAAAATAAAACGATATATATATATATATATATGAATATATTCCAGAAGTGATTCTATCAGGACTTAGGCATTGTGGGAACTAGATTTGATTTCCGTTTAGACTATTTCAACATTTTATACTGGTTATACTTAGATGATTGACTTCTAGGCGTTTATTGAATCTACATCTATTGATTTTAACCAATGTTTTGGTATAGTACCATTTTTATTGTGATGATTCCTTGTTTAAATGAGAATCTACGTTTAAGTTTTCATAATAATATGATCGATTGGATGTTCTGTAGTGTGGTGTAGTGAATGCGTTTTTATGGAGAATATAATGCCACCTATAACTAGTTTTGTTGAATGTATATAAATTTGGAAATCTGTCAACGTTCTGGTTTTTTTCTTCCAGTCCATGTCGTATCATGATATTTTCATACACAGTGTTGTCCTTTCCGACTTTGGCGTTTATATCTCTCATCAGGATTGTCAGGTGCTTTTCTGAACACTTTTCTACGATCTATTGCAGCCTTCCATAAAACTGATTTTGATCGTCTTTACTGCTTTCGTTAGTGGGTGCATAACACTGTATAAAGTTCTTCATGATTCTCTCCGTTGTTTTGATGATTCTGGATTCATGAGATTCCTTTCAGATAAGTGCTTATTTGAACAACATCAGTACAAGTCCTTGCGTGTGCAAAGCCAGGCTCTACACATATATTTTCCTTGGTGAAATCGTTTTTCTCACGTTCACGACTTTTTCTTCATTTGTTAACATTGAGATGCATTCTAAAGAATGAATCCAGGATATTTGAGGATTTCGATATTTGGCAGAGTGGTTCCTTAAATGATCCCAAAAATGTCATGCACACTGTTTGTGTTTATGTTTTAATTGGTAGAGAAAATGTAATTAGTGAAAAAACGTTTGATAATCGTTTCACATGGGTGTACGCATGTGCAATGGTCGGTGCATAATATTATGTGAAACACGTTACTTTTAGTTACCTAACTACCAGTTGAAACACTTTATATCTTTTCACTTCTCAGTTTGGAAGACTGGTCCCGTAAGACAACAAAAGATCCGAATACATAGATTATCTGGATTTCCATCATCTTTCGAATATGTGCATCTTTCCAATCATTTATTC